CTCTTATGGAGTTTCTATTTATATCATAGATGTTCTTTCAAAGTTCACTCATAACTTTTTATTTCAATAAATGCTTTACTAACTCTGAGCTGTTGATTATACTTAACCATGACATTTAATTGACAGTTGAAGTCAACAATGACACATTTTAAGAGATAAACAAACATTTAAAATAAAATGACGATCACTCAGACATTGTTTTCAAGATTCTTTTGGCATTCATATGATCTGGGATATAGCTGTGTATTTCATTTTAGAATTGTCTTCAGTCAAACTTCATGAAATTGTAGGACCCTGTTTTGTCAATTGAATGGCAACCCTTATTATTTGATGTTGAGGACATGGTTTAGTTTAGAGAAGATGTTAATATTAGAGATGCCCCGATGTTTTTTTATTTTATTTAATGTTACAAAACAAAAATGACCATGTTCACGTCTTAAAGTCATCCTGAGGACTTAGTTTTGGTTTGAAATGACACAACATCATGTATGTGTTGCTTCTTTTGGGCTTGTTTTCAGACCTGGTTGCTTCTGTCTCTCAAATCTGGCAACAGAGTGGGCGCAGTGTCTAATAGTAGCAGTAAGCTAACGAGAGGCTACGTTCAGCTGGTGACTCGGGAGTCGGGACAGAGAAAATGTCAGGAGCTTGGAAGTATTATAAAGTAGAAAGCGAAGGCAGTGTAACAGCCAGATGCAATGTTTGCAAGAAGGAGGTTCCGCGTGGTGGAAAGAACAGAGCTACGTTCAACACGACCAATCTAACACGCCTCCTGAGAAACAAACAACAACAACACGACGAGTACACAGCGGCCACTCAGGTAACGGCACAGAAACAACCGACACTTTCAGAGACTTTTAAAAGGAAAGAGAAACTGCCCCAGAACAGTGAAAAGGCCAAAACAATAACAGCCAAGAGAGCTGAATTCATCGCGTTGGATGACCAGCCTTTTTTTTCTCTTAATGCATTGCATAAAGATCGGATCGGCAGATTGTCAAAATCAAATGATCGGGAGCAAAAAAAGGTGATCGGGACATCCCTAGTTAATATGTTATGATGGTCAAAGAGTTGACCTTTTATCTTTGATCATATTTACATTTTGTGCAGTTTTGACTTTAAACCATGTAGTATTACAATACTTTGAGTCAAACTCCTTGACTGAAGCGTACTTGTAGAACGGTTCGTTAATAGTTAAAACAGGTAATAATAATTTAGGTTTTAAATAAGGAACATTGACTATTTTTAGAACATTTTGAAATAAGCTGACTCATGGAGTCCGGCTGTAAGTTGTTGGTAGAAGTTTTCCAGCAGATGTTTTTCTTTCCCTCCTGCCTCAGAAATAAATGGTCTGTTCGGTGCTACTGTACGGAGTGTGTGTGTGTTTGCAGGAAACAGAGAGGATTATGGGATGTGAGTCACGATCCGTCATGCAGACCCTCTTCTCTCCTCATTTTCCCTCCATGTCTGCTGCAGCTACATGTGTTCCTCCTCCACACCATGTGGTTCCCATTACTCTCTTATATTTTCCTTTTCAATCAGTGTGTGTGCGCTGCGTCAGTGTGTGTGTGTGCTGCGTCAGTGTGTGTGCTGCGTCAGTGTGTGTGTGTGTGTGTGTGTGCTGCGTCAGTGTGTGTACATCTGCACATATTTCTGCAGAAACTCAATCTGTCCGCAGAGGCCAGAGCCACACAGTTGACTTTAGCACTCGCTCAACAGGAGAGCAGCGATGTATATATTTATTTCTCTTTCTGTGTTTGTTTTCCAGACAGTGATTCTTTGGGAGAGCTGCTGTTCTGTGACTGGGAGCTTTGTTTCTTTGTACTCTATAAAGTACATCTTTGGCTTCAGTTGGAGCGTGTAATCAGACACCATGTGTGGAAAACTGACAAAGGATAGGCCTATTGAGAAACTGTTGGGAAATAAATGAAAGATGTTGGACTTGGAAGCCGGTCTGAACTTTTTTTTTCATCTGAACTGAATTTGTTGGACCCTCCTCTTGACTTAAAGTTATACTGCAACGCCCATGATGTAGTCAAACTTGCATTCAAGTGTTTTTTCACTGATATGTCGGCGTTACATGATGCATTTCATTATGAGTCATCCCACAGTACTGTTGTTCTCTGAATAACGCAAGCCTTTATGACCCACGCACACTTTGACTCACATCATCATTTATAACCGTTTCATCCTGTTCAAGCCGTCACTTCGGTCAAAACCGCTGCCAGAGGGATTATCATTTCTGTGCGCCCGTATGATTCTCAGCAGTGCGATATTTTAGATTTTCCAGGAGGGCATTTATTCAAATTTAGCACAAAGGTCTATTTTGACCTTACAAATAAGTAATGCATTTGGTGCTCAAAGGCAAGGTCACTGTGACCTCACAAAACACATTTCCTCTGCATTTCATATAACTTACACTTTTATTCAAAGCAACCTGCAATATTTTTGTCAATTTATTGAACATGTCGGAAACAAAACATACAACAATAATAATAATATATATATATTCTTTTTTTTTTCTTTCTCATAATAATAATTATAACAAAGTACAAAAAATAATAATACAAAAAAAAATAAAATTCTCAGATAGGTTCGTCATGTTCAACAGGGGCAAGAAGAAGCTTAAACACTTTTCTGGTCCTACCCGCCTAGAGCATACATTTTCCTTATAAATAAAACATTAGGTCATCGTCCTCAGCGACATGTTTGTCTTGTTAATTTGTTTTTTACAAAACAATCAGAAAGAAATTACTTTTACAATTACAAGAAATAACAACAAATGGGATTTTACAGGTCCTGTTCATAACCATTAATGATTTGGCTCCTAAATAATACTTTCAGTTTAGATAGACTTGTGCATCATTACAGTTATTCCACAGACTAACACCTTTGGATGAGATGCAATGAAGTTTGGCATTTGTTCGTACGGGTGGTTTTTTGAAAATGCAGTTTCCTCTCAACATGTGCATGCTTTCTCTCCGTGTGAAAAGTCCCTGGATATTATGAGGTAATTGTTGATTTGCGGCTTTGAACATAATTTGAATAGTTTTATAGTCAACCAGGTCTTGTAGTTTTAGTGTTTTTAGTTTGATGAACAATTGTTCTCTGTAGGTAGTTTTATGTATAACTCGTATGGCTCTTTTTTGCAGGATGAAGATAGGATGTGTATTTGTTTTATGTGTTCCCCTAAACTCCCACACAATACATCATGAATGGAAGTGTGAAGGAGCAGTACAGCATACACAAGGAAGCTTGATGAATTAGGTCTTTGGCTTTATTCAGAATTGCTATTGGTTTGAACTAAACAGGACATTAGTTTCGTATTACTCCAACCTTTTCTTTTTGCGTTTTATGGCCACGGTGCATTCGAAACTGGTGGGATTTTAAGTCTCTTGACAGTATAATTCAAATGCTAACTTATAACAATTTATCACAAATGTAGGATCAAATTATGAAGCTGGGACATTTTACACAGAAATGGACGTGACCTTATCCTCATTCATAGGCTTTATGTGTCACTTTATCGACAGGGTCATTTTGGTATTGAATCATAAGCCTCAAGCTCCTCCAACAATAAGACATAACCATACAAATATTTAAACTTCTGCAACAAAATACACAAAAGCCCTTTCATCTGAAATATGACTAGAACAAGCTACTTCTGGTTTTGACCCACTTGAACAGCATTGTAATTATGATTCTCTCTCTTAATGTCTGACCGCTGCAGCCATTAGTGAGGCTGTAGGAGACCATGTGAAAAATGAGATGCAGAGGGGGAGGGCGCCTCACATGAAGGGGGAGACGGATGGGCAACACATGAGAGTTTGTTTTCTTACACACATGTTTCTTTCTCCCTGTGTCTCGCTCTGCACACATTTACTCAGACAGTCCATCTCTCTCTGTGCAGCCTGCAGCTATACGTTCACGCCATGACCTCGTCATGTACAATGGCACGCATTGTTCTGCATGTAGTGTGTGAGTGTGTGTCTCTGTGTGTGTGAGCAGTACAGTACAGGGGTGGAGTAGGTCTTCATCTATAGATGATTCATGTTTGTTTACCTCATTGTTGCTCTTAAGTGCCTTACGTGGGGTTAATTCAATTTGATGAGGTCTGGTGTGCTGTTGGGTGTATGGACACACACACACGCACACACACCCATGCACGTCAGCCTTTTAGATTTAGTATCAATAGCTATTTTTTTATGTAATAAAAGGTCAAAACAACAGTCCAAACACCCAAGAATATTCCGTATGCAGTGATGTGGAAGTCTGATAAGAAGCAAATCCTCAAATTGGACGCTGGGCCTGATTTACAGAAAAGCCCAAATCATTATGTCTCAGTTAAGGATGACATTAAGGATTTTTCGTATTATATAAATAACAATCCTCTTATTTTAGGATTAAAACATTTTGGTATTACAGAGTTGTCCAAAAAAGCACAGCACTTTAATGATTGAAAGGCTTCTCAAACCATATGACGATGCTCTAATGATAAATAAGTAACAATTAATCGATTAAACCAATTCTAAATACATTATCTGTTGATGAATTATCTGGTAAGCTTTAGCTGTTGCTGTCTAGATTAATGGGGAACTAAAGAGTCTTTTTAAAACAAAATGCGTTTAGTGATGGTCCACCATGAAGAATAATCCTTTGAACTGTAGTGGGGTCTGTCTGCATTAGGACATATGCATGTGTGTGTGTGTGTGTGTGTGTGTGTGTGTACATGTGTGTGCAGCTGTGTGAAATCCTTCACTAATCCAAGCCTGTCTGATGTTGCTCATTTAGTTGTCTGATCCTGACCAGAGGGTGTGTGTGTGTGTGTTGGAATCCGTTTATACCCGTGCGTGTGTGTGATTGTCGAGTGTGTCTACATCTGCTTGTAGCTCGTCAGTGGTCCTCTGCAGCTATTTGGGGCCTCACATGTGCACATGTTGAGCTGATGACTGACCCACTGCCCTGTATTTTAACTAACCTCCTCCCACCTCTCTGACCCCGCCCAGGTATGGACCTCTCAGCCAATCAGGACGAGGAAGGCGACCAGGAAGTGTTCCAGGTGGAGATTTGTCGCGAAAACAGGAAGTGTGCGTTCCGTACCGCCGCCGGAAAATACTGGACCCTGACTGCTAACGGAGGCCTGCAGTGCACCGCCTCCACCAAGTACGCATCTCACACACACACACACACACACACACACACACACACACACACACACTAAAAATCAGACACACTCTCTTACCTTGGCAGTGATTGTGTGTGAGAACCAGTGGACCGTCACACAACTTGACAAGGGAGTTTTGTGTGTTGAATTTAATTGTGTGTGTGTTGGGGGTGAAGAGTGAGTAACCTCATCTCAAGGCTGTGGCATGTTGGGGGGGATTAAGTGCGTCTGGCTGTGACCTTCACCTGTAGAGTGACTTTCTTTATGTGCTGTGTTCCTGTTGACCCCTGACCTCTGACCTCTCACCCCGTGCTCCTGGTTGATTTCTTTCTGATGCCCCGGACAGATTCAGAAGCTTAGACTTATCTTGACTAAGTACTTGGCTTTGTTATTGTGTGTTAAAGGAATACTCCGACCTCAGAAAGACCATTTGTGCATCAATTAATCACCCCTTGAAATCTATATAGGGGCAACGTTTAAGGGACCCTATTATATTTTTTGGGGGGGTTTTCCCTAAAATCCCAAAGTTCCCTCCAGAGGGAGTTTCTCTCCCATTCCCCCTTCAACATTCCCCCCCACCCTGCCTGAAACGCCTCCATTGGACTCCTTTGTTTACTTCCTGAACATATTAACATCACTATTTAAAGCTTCTATTGGCTAACACATTGTACGTGATAGGCTAAGGGGCGGGACATCTCTAAGCTGTTGACCAATCACAACAGCATGGAGACATGTCCCAGTGGAGACACTAAATAGGGCATTTTTAACTCAAAGGTAGAACAACAACAATGAAAAAAATCTGATGAGAAGCATGTGTCCTCCCTTTTTTTTGTTTAGATGAGCAAAGGAGAACAGCGCTCTGCAGGAACTCCAACAAATTCCTTCATCACATTCCTGACATTTAATTCTCCTCGCAGATCAGACCACAAACATGTCTTTATCCAACATGTCCTCTCTTTGGTTTGAGAGAAGGATTCAGAGCTTATCTGATAAAAGAAAGCAAGGCAGAACACGACTACTATATAAGAAGATGAAACCCTTCTCTGTGCCAAGTGAAAGGATTAAGAAGCAACTTGATTCAGGTTAACTAAAGAGACCTAATGAAGCTTATCCTTTTACTTTGAGCCTACATATCCCATTACCCCGCAGTAACTTAATTCAGGGTTAAACAGTCCTGAGCGGAGTTGTAAGTGACCGTGTGTTTACACTGCTGGATCTCCTCCTGCCATGTAAATGTAATTATCCTCCCTATCTCTCATGCTTCTTACTTTCTCCTCTCTTTCAGGTCTGCTAACTGCTACTTTGACATCGAGTGGCGTGGGAAGAGGCTGACTCTCCGGGCTGCCAACGGGAAATACGTCGCCGCCAAGAAAAACGGGCAGCTCGCAGCGACCATCGACTCTGCCGGTCGGTGAGATTTGTTGATTCAGCCGTTCAGACAATGACTGATTTATTGATTCACTTTTCAGCGGTGTTATAATTAAAATCATGGCTGAATGTTCCCGTTAGTTCTGAGCTTCAAAGGCTTCAGCAGAATGCGGCTGTTTAGGGGAATCTTTCTCCTTCTTCTCCTGCCACGTTGCATGCTGTGTTTTATTCTCAAGTGAATTATGTTGATTGGAAACATCGTGATGAACTCCTGAGTATGCAGAGTCACTGGCGAGCTTGTACAATGATACAAAAACTGTGGAAAGTCACTTTTACTCAATAACTGTACATAAGTACGAGTTTCCCTTACTTGGTACTTATTATTTCCATACCACGTAGGATAGCTTATATAACATACTATACCTCATTACACCTCAAAGGCTAATATCCTACTTTTCCACAAGGAACAAAAAAGTATATAGATTTTGTTGCAAATCTAAATATTATTTTTTCCTCTCCCATTACTCATTTAAGGACTCTTCAGATTTATATTTAGTTTAGAACCATTGACTTCACTTGACTTTATATACATTATTAAGAAGTTAAACGAGCACCATCTTGAACAGCTTGAGAAGAGGATCAAGTTTGGAGGCACATAATGTCCCGTCAAAGTGCAAATTATTATTTGTTTGCACTCTTTCGTGCACATTTTAAAGAACAATATATGTTTTAAGTAAGGGAGAATGTGCAGTGAGGCAGTCGATAATTAAAATAAACCGACCAACGTGGCGATCGGGATCCGCAAAGCGGACTGCCCCGCTGTACATTATCCCGCTTATTATTTATTACACGGCTACCTACTAAATAAATCAACGAGTTCACCCACAATATTGACTTAAAAAAGACTTTATTAAATAAAAAATGATCGTATTGTTTCCGCTAAGATAAATCAGTCCGTACCACTGCGTAGCGTTAAATCCAAAGTTTCCTGCTTACCACAAATATGAAAATACATATTCAAAAAGTATTCCATTATGTTTTTTGATGGATAAAACTAATGTTTGTTGTTAGCAAAGGTCTTTTCTCCCTAGCAACCATGTGCTAGTGAAAATTAACAACCTCTGGAATGTCCAAATTGACCAATCAGAATCAAGTATTCAACTCAGCTGTATTATAATGTATTTTCAAGGTGCTGGTCGATCTGTTGCATTTGGTCAGCTGAATTCTTATAAAAACACCAGCAGACACAGAAGTTACTAACAGTTCCTGTGAAGACTTTGCACACAGTTGGTCGTTAGAGAGATCAGAAGATACTGCGTTATAAAAGCAGCTGCTGGCCTCAGAGGATCAAAGCTTCACTTTGTGCTGCAGCTTCTGATGAGATACCCCAGAGAGCTTTTTAGGGCATATTTGAAGCCAAGCTGCTTTGCATACATTTTTAATGACATGTATGAAGATTCAGCACTGAAGCTCAAACTGTGAGCTGCAGTGTGATGCATTAGTTAGGGATTTGAATGCATAGGTTTGGGTGATTTAAATATATGAGCCAAAGGGTTGTTAAACTGCAGTGGTGGAATGTTAATTTGAAGTTTAATTACTGTATTTAGGTAAACTGTTGAAGTACTTTACTTAAGTCATTTAATGTCATGCTTCTGCTCTCCTACTAAAGTCACTTTTAAGATTAAGAATACTAATAAAAGCATAACACTAATAAATTAGGATGTATTATTAAACATTAAACTACCCATCAGTATATAAATCTCCACCATTACCAGCTGCAACGTTGGTGACGTACACATTAATGCATCAACATGTATAATACAACATTATAATGTATATTATTCTGAAATGATGTGTTTTGGTACTTTACGTATATTTGATGCTAGTACTTGTGTATTGCTATACTGCAGTGTTACTTTAACTTTAGTAAAAGATACTTAAAGTACGTATTCTGGGTAATCATATATGTTATATTACTGGATTGTGATTATTGATGCATTAAGGTGTTTATCCCAGGCTGAAGTGAATTCAACTGTTGTGGTTTTTGCATAAGTTTAACCCCCTGACTCTTGTGTCTCCAGGTGAGTCTGAGGAGTTTCTGATGAAGCTGATTAACCGCCCGATCATCGTTCTGCGCGGCGAGCATGGCTTCATCGGCTGCAGGAAGGTGACGGGAACGCTGGACTCAAACCGCTCCACCTATGATTACTTCACCCTGGAGTTCAGAGACGGAGCCTACAGCCTGCAAGGTCAGATTCAGGGTTTCAGCAGATAGGCAACAGTGTCATTTGACAACTGTGGGATGTAAATGTGCACATGTGCTGCAGGATTATAAGGGATTAAACCATAAGGGATTCTCATTATGAATTTACATTTGTGCCAAAAAGAGGGATTTGATTCGGATAATTTCCCTGCCTTCACATTATGTAATTCAAACAAAGCCATTTTTAAGCCCAACCTTTTGTTCCCTCCTCCATATGTTTCACACCCTTTCCCCACATTTCTGACACATAATTGAGTGCTGCAGGAATGAGTCCTAAACTTGGAAAAGCTAGTATTTTACCACTGACTCGAAGTCAATGATTTGTTCAGATGCCTTAAAAAAAGGTCTATGGTTATCACGAGCTTAAGAGATTTTTACGTTTTTGTTCTAGGACATACAATATGTCAGTAAATACTCCACTGGTGAACATCTGACGTTTCTATGTGTTGTAAAAACCACAGTTGCTAACAAAACTAAATGAGACTAATAAATGTCATCACACTGAACATTAGCCACCTTTAGCTTAGCGTGGTGACGTGAAGTCATGTGACCGCGCTGTAGTTCCTTTATAGCCTAACGTTAGCTTTTTACTTCAGGCGATTGCACTTAAGCTTCAACTATTATAAAAGTGGTGTTCATATGTGGAGTATATCCTGTTGGATAAAATGTGTCAAGTGTGTTTGCCACAGATCTTATATATTCCAAAATCACAAGGAAAAATCCCATTGCTATTTCTTGAGGGAGATTTTGCAATACCAGCTTCCAGGTTGGCCTACAAAAATCGTCATCCTTGCAACTCACTGCAAACATGACTATCTATCTTCGCCACCTTTTCTCAAACCCTTTTCCTCTCCTCCTGCAGACTCCACGGGTAAATACTGGATGGTGGGTAACGAGCAGTCGGTGGTGAGCAGCAGCGACACGCCCGTCGACTTCCTCTTCGAGTTCTGTGACTACAACAAGCTGGCCATCCGCCACGTTGCCGACAGCAAGTATCTCCGCGGCGACCACGCCGGCGTCCTGAAGGCCAACGCTGACGACCTGGAGACCGCCACACTGTGGGAATACTGAAGGATCTGCTGCGATGCTGAGGAATGAATTGAAAGTGTGGTGACGCAGCACAAACCCCATCCATACATCTACCTACCAACCCCTCCTCGCTCCTTATATTATGATACTTATGACTTTATATGTTGATGAACTGCACAGAGAGAACAGGAAGGAGACACTTCTTTCTCTCCGTCCTCCCTTTCCTTCCCTTTTCCCAGCCCCAACCTTTATCTGTTGCCATATTTACCGTGGGGCCGTGCACTTTTTTGTCCGATCTGATTCGCTGCTCAAACCTGTCACTCACTCCCTCCTCGCCTTACGATTGATGCCGTCCCTCCTTCCCTCCCCAGAACATCTGTTTCTACCTGATCTAATCTCCCAAAAACAGATCCACCAACCGGAGGAAATCTGCTTCCTGTTAGCTGGATTTTAAAGATGGAGACGGTGGGTCTGTTTGTGGGAAAGCTTCTTGTAGAAACATAATTTTTTTTTGTCTGTTTGTTTTTCCAGGCCCTATGTGATATAACTGGAGTGGAGCTGATAAGTAAAGATATCGAAGACGGGTTTAACCCCTTTATTCATCTCATCTGTAAAAAAATAACTAAATGTAAACCAGTTTCCTATGTTGTTATCTAGCTGTGGTCTCATTGGTCACCACGGGGGGATTTCCTGGACCAAACGGGATGTAGGAAGTTAAAACACTTACCCTTCCCCCCCTCTTCTTCACACACTAAACCTATTGTCCTGAAAACAATATAAATAAATTAAAAATAGCAAATGTTGCAGTCACATACTGTATGTTTATATGACAGAAAAAACACTCCCTGATACACAGTTGGATTTCTTTTTCTACGTCCAAGGCACAGACATTATCATGGATACAGTAGGGAGCTATTGCAACTGGAGTGATATGATTTATAAACCCTTTTTTGATGAAAGCTTATTTTTGAATCCCTCGACCAAACGTACACCTCAGCCTTTATCGAGACCAAGATAACAGACCATCATCTCTTACACACACACACACACGCGCAACTGGAACCTGGTGCTGCTCACTCCTGTTATAACTCGTGAAATATTAATAAAGTCGAGCATCTCTCACCAAAAGACGGTGATTTTCTGCTGCACCTGAAAGCCTTGCCATATATATCTGAAATCTGCTGCTTCTTTAGTTTTCTGTCTGAAGTAGAGATGTGACCAAATTGTTTTTTGTTGGGTTTTTTCTGTTCCTGACTCCTCGATGACGGTGAGGAAGGGATACGTTTAAAAAAAAAAAAAAAGAGAAAAGAAGCAGATTTTGAATAATTTGTCATCTATTTAACTGAATTGTCTGTTATGCAGTCGTGTAGCACAATGCATTGGTCTTTGATTCTCCACCCTTCTGCTTTCCGCATAAACACATTAATGATTTCCGTAAAAAGACGTAAATTATTGGGCTGTCTCCCCACATCATCCTCTTCCTCGTTAATCATTCCTCTGATGTGTAAATCAGAATGGAAAACCAATCGTTGTACTCCCATGAAATAATACATGATTGTAGCCGGCTCCTCACCAACTCCGTCCAATTTTCTTGGAGCGATTTCTGCATGAAGGGTTGAGAATCTCAAGCGAATAAAAAGGAGCGTTTGTCCTCGGAGAAAACGAGGTAACAGAGACCAAGGCTTAGACAAACGGATGTGGAAGGGTAAACATGTGGTAATGACTGTGCCTTACTCTTTTTTGGGCAGTAGGGAAGAAAAGAAATGAATCCACATCTTTGCTTTGTATAACTGGAACTTCTTTTTGTATTATTATTTTGTATAATTTTTTTGATATTGTGGATTAACCTCTCTTGTGCCATTGGTTCACCTGAAATCCAACGACCAATAAAACTGGGATTTGGAACGCTTCACGTCTCTTTTATTGCGTTTCGGTCCTTTTTTCCTCCCCTTATAAAACTAGCTATAATCATGTATACACATAATTGTAAATTGTGTTTGCTGAAATGAAAACTGTCACTATTTTATCAGCTGGATCTAACAAATCGATTAAGTATTAGCTTTTTGAGTATACAACTTGTGTCCAATTAGGTTTGTATGTCATATTTCTAGATGTCCTAAATATTTGCATAATGTCTACGACTTTGCATTAAAAACGGAAGCTAAAGCTAAATTTCTTGAGCTAATATAGCATCATCACCACTTTATTAATATCTGCAAAGAAACATTAAAATAAAGACAGATAATGTTGCAGTGTAGGCTATTAGGTTAGTTAATATTATAGTTTAGTAAAAGTATTAGCTAGTATTACAGTTAGTAAGAAATTATTGACCGTTTACTGTTATTTCTTTGTAAAACAACCCTATTTTGTTACTTAGCTTAACATTAACCTACTTTGATAGCGAGATATTGGTCAGATTTATGTTATTGTTCATTTCAAAACGTTTGTTCAGTTTGTAATGTTACAAGAGGTATAAATGAAGTATTAAATCATCCTTGTCGTTGGAAATAACTCCAAAGGTTACTTCTGTAAGCAGTACAGTAAGCTAGTTAGCCAAACATGCTAGCAAGCGGTAAGCTAGTTAGCCAAACAGCAGGCTAGCTTACTGCTTGCTCACGTTGGAGCAGAGAAACACTGTTTAATTCATTCCTCACACTTTAATTATTTTGTTTTATGCCTCCATTCAAAAATATTTAAACACATGGACATATTCAAAATGTAAACTAGACTAGTTTAAGGGTTGCTAATCTTTGTTAGCACAAACACTGTTCCTGTAGGCATTCAGTATGTCAAATGAAAGAAAATGTATGCATCCATGTTAAACCTGAGGCCTTTTCTTCCCCGGCACATTTCTCAGTTAATCACAGTGCTTTACTCTTGGTCTCCTGCCAGTTTCTGACCACAGCGGCTCCATGTGCTGTCCCACTTACACACACATAGTTTATATGGAAACACATTTTTTCCCTGTCTCCTGAATGGAGGCTTTGTGTTGAAACATTTATTCTGCTGCAGAGAAAGGGCACTAAACCCCCCCCCCCCCCCTCTAAAGATTCACACACATTAACACACATCCATGGAGGTAATGTAATGATGGAGCAGGTCTCTAATCCCAGAGGAACACCCAACATAGCAAAACAAACACACACCTCCCCTCTACCTAATCTCCCACATCTCCCCTTCCCACTTAATCTGTCTCTCCCCTCTGTCGCTCTCTCTCTGTCTGTTTTAATCATCCTCCCCTCAATCCCTCATACTTGTTCTCCTCCCCATTTCCCCCCCGTCCTCCTTCTCTTGGAACAATTTTTGCTGAAAAAGATGAGTCACACAAACTATGACCCAGATCCCAGGAATGGGTGCAGTGGTTAGTGGGTACAAACGACGCCCCAGGAACAAATGGAAAGGGAAAATTGGGGGGGAGGTTAAGGGAGGAGAGACTGCAAAATGGCCGCTCTCTCCACACACATCTGAACCCTCCCTACACCTCAACCGTTGTTACCATGGAAACAGCAGCTGGTAGAAGCAGATGAATCAAAGAGGCGAGAGTGTGTGGCGTTGTCAGGGTCTAGAAATGTCAAAAGAAAAAAGCTTCATTACATGCAAAATGTGGGCCGATGGAGGCCTATTTATGAGGCTTGTGTGTGGTTTGGGGTGGGTAGGGGTTGAGTAAAGCTTAAGGGGGGGTTAAAATGAGGAGCCTTGGGGAGCAGGAGGAGGAGGGTGGATGTCAGCCTTTGATCAGAACAGCACAAGGCCATTTTCTGCTGAACTACTCTTCAATCTTTGCCCCCATATTCCTCCACCAACTGCAGAGGAGGTGTGTGTGTGTGTGTGTGTGTGTATGTGTGTCTTTCTGCAGGCTTTTCCTCCCTGTAATCAAATCTACATCCACTCGTGTTCCTCCATCTCTCACGTGGCCCGGCACTGAGTCAGTGGGTCAACGGGTCAGTCACTAATCTCTTTAGAGGAAGAGAAGGAGCAACACGGGTCTCTGCAGGATGAATAGCAGGTTGATTCAATATGACAGATTAAACAGCAGAGACACAGAGGGCACTTTTAGCGTGCTGTGTCACATTTGAACAATGTAGACATGTCTTTCAAAATAAAGTGCACGTAGTCAATGCATTCCCCTCCTGGCAGCATTTAGAAACAGCCAAATGCTAACGTAAGCTTGCAAACATGCTAACAATGACAATTTGGGTGCCAGTCCAGCCTTAAGTGATCCGGGTTTAAGTGCTGCTCCAGATGTTAGATTTTATTATTCCCCAGATGTAATTATTTCCTTTCAATCAGCGCAGTGGAGCTAATGGTGATAAAGACTTTATTTTAAAACCTTTGTGAAGGTTTTTATGTACAAAAATCTTCCGAGTGAAAGCCTGGGGTCGATGCTAAAAAATTAAATGTGAATATGTCCCACTCCAGGAAATGTTGAAAATACTAAAGTGGAAATCTTCATGTTGAGCATGGTGTAAAGGCCAAGAAATGACTAACAATGTAAGTGTTTATCATAAACCTCTCCTCTTTTTCCCTTCCTCTTATTTTATTTCTACATTATGTGTAAATATGTCTTATATTTGTTGTAGATACTTTTTGTTTAGTAATACTTTTGGTATCCACTGTGATAAATCACAATAAAAATAATATGTAAGAGAATATTAGTGTTTAACTATCAGCAGCAGGTATTAAAAGTCCTACAAACTGTATGAGCATCTGTGCTGGAGGCGCAGCTGTAAAAGCACACACTCATTAAAGATACACACAAACAATAACATACTCAAACAGTGCCAGCGGAGACCGTCTGGGGAGCGAATGCTGCCAGACATCAGCGGTCCTTATGGACCAGGCAGCAGAGGGCTTTAACACACACACACACACACACACACACACACACACACACACACACACACACACACACACACACACACACACACGCACGCACGCACACACACACACACACCATGTATACATCACTTCAGGGGACATTACATTGACTTACATGCATTTCCTGGAGACTTATCCTAACCTTAACCATAACCAACACATGCCTAACCCTTACCCTTAACCTTAACCTTACCCTTACCCTAATCCTAAACCTAACCAAGTCTTCACCCTAAAATTAATGATTCCCCTTATGGGGACCTCCAATTTGTCCCCATAAGGGAGGCGAGTCCCCACACGTGACTATGTAAACAGATTTAAGTCCCCACAAGTATAGTAATGCTAGACCACACACACACACACACACACACACACACACACACACACACACACACACACACACACACACACACACACACACACACACACACACACACACACACACACACACACACACACACACACACAATGTGTGACTCGGGGTGTGAAGGTTGTCTCGGTCATATGATGCTAAAAATGTGTGTTTGGACACAGTGTATGTTCAACCCAGTGTTACAATCACAGAAGCGGGAAGATAAACCAGAGGCGCTGTTTGTCTCTCAGGTGACCAAAGAGAGCTACAGGTCATATCTGGTGCATATTTACAAAAACCCATTGTGGGCATCAGGTCCACACCAGCTATTCACTGAAAGGGCTGAGCGTTTCTTTTTTAGCTGTTTCAATTGGGAACAGTGTTATTTTACTGATCTACACTATTCATGTCTTGATAAGGCAGTTGAAGTGCAATGCAGATAAGCTACCTTTCATGCACAATGAGTTAAGGGAGCTTAACAAACATTAGAAAAACGTAGTTGGTGATTTGGTTAAAATACTCAATCATACAATAAGTAATTGCATTTTTTTATATGTAAATATATATAGGCTTCTCCAATTGAAGGGAATGTCTGCAACTTCAAACAACTCAACTTACTTCACCACATTGATCAAAAACGTATGAACCTAATTTAACCATAAAGCTAATTCATACTGCTAACATTGCTAACAACAAAAACAACAGAGATATGAAATATATGGTTACCTTGGTTAAACAGTAGCCTATGCTTGCATTTCATCATGTTACCCAGCATGTTCAAATCAGGGATCCATAATTAGAATAAAAGAACAAATAAAGAGTTCAAATATTAGCCTACAGCCTAGCAGTTCTGAGATCTTTTTAAGCTAAATGCTAGCGTTAGCATGCTAACAAGCTACAATGCTGGCATATTGATTAGTTTAGCTTTTTAGCATGTTTGCTAATTAGCACGAAACACAAAGTAGCTACAACTCATGAAGCTGATGAGAATGTAATTCATGTATCAAACTTTAAAGTTATACTAATGGGTGAATACCTTTTTTTCCAATAAATATTTGTACCAAATGTAATAACAAACATGTAGCCTCCTCAGATAAGATGTTTTAAAATCCTAAAAAGCAATGTAAAATTGTTCAACTTCCTCTAGCAAGCTTCTAAAACGTCAGTCAATCTCCATCTTACTGCCTAGCCTACAATTAATATGTATTTTTTGGGAGTGAGTGGGTAGGGTACTCTATGTTGATGAGTGACAGCATTGCATTGTCAGAAGTCTCCTTTATTGAGACTAATCGCATCAGTTAAGCCTGTCCTTTTGTTCTTTGAATTAAATGAGTCATTAGCAGATAATACTCTGTAATGCTCTCTGCCTGTAATCCATGACCCGCTCGTCTGGAGCGCTCCGGGATGGGTTCAAGGATTTAGGGCTGGAAAAGGATACAACACTTATTTTATGGTTTTTGAAAAAGGGGTAATTGTATTCAGGCTCATCACTCCGTTGTCCTTTTTGTGTTGCAGCTTGCAGGACAGCGGCAATGGACAGTCAGGGTGAAAAGTCACAGGTCAGGGTGTAAATAAGGGTGATTAGAGTCAGCTGAGCTGCCACCATGTATTTTACGGCAGTCAAGGGAGTCAAAGGCACTCATACAGAGTGCAACGTGAACCTATCAGGCTCTCCCCTCCTCTTTCTCTGCTTCGATCTCTCAGGCAAAAAGCACTTTCTTTCAAGATAAGATCCAATCTTCCTATTCCAATCCCAAAAAACTATTTTCCATCTTCTCCTCCCTCCTGGACCCCCCCAAAGCCCCTTCCCCCTCCTCCCTTCTGTCAAGCGACTTTGTTAACCACTTTGAAAAAAAGGTTGATGATATTCGCTCTTCTTTTTCTGACTCACCTCTACTCACCGCTGGGTCACCAGACCCTCCTTTCACCCACACACTGACCTCCTTTTCCCCTCTCTCTCCAAGTGAGGTTCTTACCCTCATTACCTCTGTCCGCCCTACCACCTGTCCTCTGGACCCTATCCCTTCAAACCTCCTTCAGACTATCGCTCCTGATATTCTACCGTTTCTCAACCCATTTCATCAACACTTCTCTAACTTCTGGTCACTTTCCAAACAGTCTCAAGGAGGTAAGAGTAAACCCTCTCCTAAAGAAACCCACTCTCAACCCGTCAGATGTTATAAACTACAGGCCTGTCTCTCTCCTCCCGTTCCTGTCTAAAACACTTGAACGCGTGCTGTCTTTAGACAACTCTCCTGCTATCTCCATCAGAACAACCTTCTGGATCCGCACCAGTCTGGTTTCAAGGCAGGTCACTCCACAGAAACTGCCCTCCTTGCTGTCACTGAGGAACTGCACACTGCTAAAGCAGCCTCCCTCTCCTCTGTCATCATCCTTTTGGACCTGTCTGCTGCATTCGACACGGTGAATCATCAGATCCTCCTTCGCACTCTCCAAGCACTTGGAGTTTCAGGCTCTGCACTTTCCCTCCTCACCTCATACCTCAAAGACCGCACCTACAGGGTTACTTGGAGAGGGTCCGAGTCCGACCCTTGTCAATTAACTACAGGGGTCCCTCAGGGCTCTGTTCTTGGTCCCCTCCTCTTCTCCTTGTACACAAACTCGCTCGGATCAGTCATTAGCCCGCATGGTTTTTCTTACCACTGCTACGCTGACGACACCCAATTAATTCTGTCCTTTCCCCGCTCAGAGACCCAGGTCGTCGCACGCATCTCTGCTTGTCTAGCTGACATCTCTCAGTGGATGTCTGATCATCACCTCAAGCTCAACCTTGACAAGACTGAACTGCTCTTCCTTCCGGGAAAAGATTGTCCCACTCTTGACCTAACAATCAACATCGGCACCTCAGTTGTTTCCCCGACTCAGACTGCAAGGAATCTGGGTGTGACCCTAGATAACAACCTGTCCTTCACTGCAAACATAGCTGCTACAACCCGCTGCTGCAGATACACGCTTTACAACATCAGGAGGATGCATCCCCAGCTGACCCAGAAAGCGACGCAGGTTCTGGTCCAGGCTCTCGTCATCTCACGCCTAGACTACTGCAACTCCCTCCTGGCTGGTCTACCTGCATGTGCAATCCGACCTCTGCAGCTCATCCAGAATGCAGCTGCTCGCCTGGTCTTCAACCTTCCTAAATTCTCCCACACCACTCCGCTCCTCCGCTCCCTTCACTGGCTTCCGATAACTGCTAGAATCCACTTCAAGACAATGGTACTTGCTTACCATGCTGCGAATGGATCTGGCCCTTTCTACATCCAGGACATGGTTAAACCGTACACCCCAGCACGTGCACTCCGCTCTGCATCAACCAAACGGCTCGCTGCACCCTCGCTGCGAAGGGGACCCAAGTTCCCAACAGCAAAAACACGTGGGTTTGCTATCCTGGCTCCTAAATGGTGGAATGAGCTCCCCATTGAAGTCAGGACAGCAGATAGCTTACACACCTTCCGGCGCAGACTGAAAACTCATCTCTTTCGACTCCACTTCGAGCGATAGAACTATTAACAAAGCACTTATATACTAATAAAGGACTGGCTTATCTAAAGCCAGTTGAGTAGCACTTGAAATGTTTTTGCTCTATGAAGCCTGATGTACTTATATGATTCTGTTTTCTTCAAGTTTGTATTTTGTTGGTCGAACGCACTTATTGTAAGTCGCTTTGGATAAAAGCGTCAGCTAAATGCAATGTAATGTGAACTTATTTCACCGTTTAAAATCAGTTATCACTGGATTTATCATGGGTAAAACAGTAAAATAGCTGCAGAAATGTCAACAGAGCTTTGAGATGTCATGAGAAGTGAAGACATGAGTTATTTCTGCTTCAGCTTGCATGACAAATTGAATTTTCCAACATAAATGCTGTGTTCACAAGAGTTTGAAGAACATTGGTGTTTACCAGGCAGGGAGGGCCTAATGAAAGACACACTCGTATTGCATTAAGTGAAGGATCCAGTGTTTTTGGAAGATTACAAGTCTCATAATTTGTGTCTTTGCTAGCTGTGTGGCTGAGGCTCAATGGATACAAATGTTGGTCCAACCTGAAATGTTTAAACAACCAGTTGGCTCCAGATTGCGGTGACATTTGGATTAGATTTTCATGTTCCCCTTGAGGCTGACTTTGTTGGTTTTCAGTTTAATGTCAACTATTGAATGAATTGTTTTGTCTTCCGTTGACAATTACTTTGTAATCAACTGACCTTTAAATGCCACGATTAGGTTTTAATTGTATTATTGCTCAATACTTTAGTTAATGACCTCAGCTGTACTTTGTGTTTAGTGCTGATCATGAAGCATGCTAACGTGCTACACTAAGACGGGGAACATGTCATACCTGCTGAACTCCAACATGTTAGCATTGTCATCAGATATTAGCATTGAGCACTAAGTACATCCCATAGTCTAATTTACTCTTTACTCTTGACTTTATTAATGTACGGCACTAAATCTCCTGAGTGTTGCCTCAGTAATGCTGTGTGTTTTTTGACTTTGTGATAATTGTTTAGGTTATTCCCCAAAATAATTACCTTTTTGAAGAATAAGCCCTCACATTCCATCTTCAGAGGCCATTAACTGTCTTTTGATTTACACAAATGAACACTGTGCAGGGATTTGTTAGACTATAAACAGTAAATCATATTCCCTTTAAGTGTAACTGTCTCAAAATGCCATTTATATACTTATACTTTATGGAAGCCCCCTCATGTCCCCTGAGTCTTTGTTTATTACACATCATTTCATTTATGAGTGCTCGGCTGGTGTTAGAAGATGCTGAATCTGATTAAGTCTAATTCTGGCTCCACCCATGACTAAAACCATTAGGACCCCAGGGCTATAACGGGGGTTCGCTGAACTACTGTTATAGTCTGCAGGCAGAAACAAGAGGCTGTGAGTGTGTGTGTGTGTGTGTGGTGTGTGTGTGTGTGTGTGTGTGTGTGTGTGTGTGTGTGTGTGTGTGTGTGTGTGTGTGTGTGTGTGTGTGTGTAGCAAAATGATTTGTCACACCAGCACACTTGGCTGAACAAAGAAGTCTCCTCTCTCGGTAACATCACAAAGCCTGGCTGTTGCTAAGCATAGATTGGCGGAAAGCACCCACTCTGTCATGTGATTGGTTCATAGCCTGAGGGCTCAGTTATCATGACTCAGCCCCTTTTTCTGCAGGGAGGAGGGGGGAGAGAGACAAAGGGGAGAGAGGGACGCAGAAAGGTAATAAGAAGCAAGAAAGGATATTTAGCTTTTTGTAAATAGCGAAAACATTCAAAAGCGGCCCGAATATGCTTTTTTCCGTTTTACTGTAGTGTGTTGTAGGTTTTTGTGCATAAATATGGTCTGCAAAGGGAGGGAGTTTCTCTCCCACACACTCCCCCCCTACCTGCAACGCCTCCATTGGACCCCTTTGGTTACTTCGGTAACATGGTGAAATAACTATGGAACATTCACGCTTCTATTAGCATTCCAACACATTGTACGTGACAGGCTAAGGGGCGGGACATCTCTAAGCGGTTGACGAATCACAACAGAGCCAGCCAGCTGACCAATCAGAGCAGACTGGGCTCTGGTTTCAGACAGAGGGTGAAAAGAGGTGCTGCAGCACAGACAGTATGAGAAAAATGAAGAGCTTTTTGAACATTAAAGCTTGGAGACATGTAGAGACACAAAACACAAATACGGACCTGGACATGAGGAGAATGCGTCCTCTTTAAAAAGTACAACTCGTATGAACTGGAAACTCAACCCAACGTTAACAGAACTCTTTATTTGAAAACGGTGTGGTCTCACCTGTTACACAAAAGATTGAGAAGGGAATGCTAACAGTTTTTCTTTTTTTTTAAATTATGTTCTCAAAAATATCTGTATAAACTGGGAATAAACATTGATGCTTGCTGGAATCGATACAAAATATTGTGGAAAACGGCACTGAAATGAGAAGCAGGACTGTGTGTTAGAAGCGTCTGTAGTAGCGGTGGGGGGGGCCGTAGTGCATCGGCAGGTCCATCATGTCCATGTTTTGGGGGAGAGGCGGGTGTACGGGAAGGTTTGGGTGGTGGTGATGGTTGTTGTTGTTCATGGGGGGCAGGTGTGGTAGAAGGGGCACGTAGGGGGCCGGGGGCAGTCTGGGTAGAATCACCTGCTGGAACATCCTGCCCTGCGGTGGAGGAGCAGGGGGGAATTGGGCGTGGGGGGGGACGAAGAGGGGAGCCTGGACTGCCAGCGGGTGAGGGGGGGGGGGCCAGGGCGGGGTCCTCTGCCGCCGGGCCCACTCTGGGTCGCTTCACCTCGGTGATCGGCTCCGGGGGGGGGCCGACCCGCTTCCCCGAATTATCTGAGGAGAAGAAGAAGAAGAAAAAAGGGGGGGTTAGTAAAGGACTTCCTGTCCGGTTTTCTAGCTGATGTCAGACTTCCTTCGCCTTCTTTACACAAACACTTTGAGACAAACCAAACACAGGAAGCACTCGGCTGCCTGTTTATAAAGACTTTATAAATAAATACTGTTGTAAAGATAAAGAATAATAATGCAACAGTGCAATATGTCCCTGCCAACAATCAGTTTAAGAAAAACAAACAGAGCAGTTGTCAATAGTTTCAACAGTTCCTACAAAATAATTGCTTTCAGTTCCCAGTGAGCATCAGACTCTCTACTGACCGGAGCTCTTCTTGTTCAGCTCGGCCTCTCCTTCCTTCTGGATCACCTGAATGATTCGCTCGTCGTCTTGCTGCAAAAACAAAACACGGAACTTGTTCATATTTCCAATCAGACAAAAACGGCATCAACATTATGAGAGTGAATGTAACTCTTGCTGTACCCCGATAATAACAAAACAATCATTTGACATGCTCTAAGGCAGACAGGACTGAAGCTTGTAATGCAGATATATAAAAGGTCCAGCCAACATAGTGCTCGTTTAGCTGCGGGCTTGATGTGTCTGCCGAACAATTCGAGGTCAGAGCTTCTGTGGAGGAGGGGGGGTGCTGCAGCTAGTCATAACACCATGCCTATGTAGTCCCAATAAACTAGAGCTGAATCAAACATGCATCTGCTATTGTCTGCCTTTTCTTGCGTGCGACAAAGAGGGAAAACAGTATTTCGACCATAGTTAAAATGTTTGTTTTTAAAGGCTAAAACGGCAAAATAAATTGTAATGGTTTGGATCACATCGGTGGATATTGATATTATGCAGCTACGACTCTAATCTTATTCTACACAAATTCTAATACACAACATATTTCAAAGTCGATATAGAATGAATGGCAATAAAGCTTTTCAGTTCAAATATTTATTTGTAGCCTAATGAAATACACTTTAATGCCAACATAAAGCTAGTTAGATGAGTCAGATCTTCCTACTCTCACTCTTGACACGAAAACCTTTTAAATAATCAAATGAAGGCAGCCGTCTCCTTTCTAAAGGCCCTGTGGTCGGCAGTTTTTATCTTGGCATTGTGCCGGGAGACTGGCTGTTGGCTCCTCTCTGGAGTTTCTGGGTTGTCTCCAGCTCATTAACAGCTCGGGGACTAATTGTGGTTTCTGGGTGCCAGGGATACTGCAGCCAGGTAACCGTGGGCGACCACAGAATCAGATGGTCAGGGTCAAAGTGCAGCGAGAGTTAATGAGCATATCTGTGTGAGGGCAACACAAGGAATAGAGTGGCGCAGGAATGAGTCTGAAACCCGGAAATGAGTTAGCGTCTCAGCACTTCTAGTTCCCTCGTCTCAAAGTCAACCGTTTTTTTAATTAACGTGTTCTTGGTTAGACGCCTTCGATAAGCTCTGTGGTTAACAAGAGTTTAAGAGATTTTCCGTTTTGTTCTAGGGCATAAAATATGCAAAACATTAGCCACTTTTAGCTTAGCGGTGGTGACGTGAAGTCATGTGACCGTGATGTAGTTCCTTTATAGCCTAACGTTAGCCTTCGACATCTAGAGATTGCATTTATGCTTTAACTATTATAAAGGTGGTTAATATGTGGAGATTATCCTGCTGAACAAAACGTGTAAGTATCATAAATGTGTGCTAGTCATAGATCGGAATTGTTTGCAATACTCCCATTGAGTGACTCCCAATCCCATTGGCTTTTAGGGGATGCTAACCTTTGGGTTGTCACTCCACCACTCTATAGGGAATGAATGAGTAATGTTATCCTTCAAAATAAGAGCGTGTGTGTGTGTGTGTGTGTGTGTGTGTGTGTGTGTGTGTGTGTGTCACTGTACCGTGGGGTCGGTCCAGAGCGAGCACTTGCGGCAGTGTCTGCAGGGAGCGCCGGGCGAGCGCGCGTGTTGGCAGAAGTGGTTGTATCCGGTGATGGGCTCCCTGCAGAGGTAACACATGAAGCTGCCGCAGCGACACGACATCCGGTTACAGCCCTCGGACTTCACCAGGCCTGTGGCGCACTTCACACACTTCCTCACCCGGGCCGCCGTCATGCGCTCCTCACTGGGGACAGAGGGGAAGATAAATGAATAAGGAGACAAATAAGGCAAGGCCAGTTTATTTCTATAGCATTTTTCAACACAAGGCCATTCAAAGTGAAAAACATTAAGAGCATTAAAAAGCAAAGATAATAAAACATGAATACATGAATACAAGTTACAGTGCAGTGTAAGATGTGAATAGTTCAATTAAAAGTAGCGGCAGTTTTCTAACTTTTTATATTCCTTTCATCCAAATAAAGGAGACACATGTAGAACGCTAAATAAAAACATGAGACGGATAAACTTCCTTCTTCTGCATGTCTCAGTCTTCTTTGTGTTTCTTGAAGTGAGATATTTAAAATCTGAAGCTCAGGTTTGTTTTAGTATTTCCTTGTAGGCATTAACAAAAAGTTAGTCAGAGGCAAACACATGAAACGTGTTGAATGAAGTATAGCCGCAACACTCATTTTAAATAAAGGTGAAATACTTTTGTTTTTGCTGCCTTTTATTAAATCAAATAATGATTCATATCTTACAACGCACTTTAATGTATATGATATTCTTGTGATTTATATCTCTCGTTTTTAGTCATATTTCCTTTGATGTGGCTCAAAACTGTGCCTTCTATTATTCTGTCTATACTTATTTTGATTCGAGTTTTCATCGTTCATTCACGAGTAATCTTATTTGTGAAGAACTCGGATATCTGGAGGTAAACGACACACTTCTCATTTCAGTGTTCTGGCACTTCCTTTCAGTGAATCTAGGGGATAATTTAACTCAAGAAGAATCCACTGATTTCAAAAATAAAGGTCTTGATATAAAAGCAGGCTGTATGCAGGAATCCTGAAGTCAAATGTAATTCCTTTGAAGACCTTTTTTAAGACCCTTTCCGTACATTTTAAGAGCTCATCGCCACTTGGAGTTCTAACCGGTTACCTTGGCGACACACTTTACCTCACATTGACTATATACAGTATGGATTGTCCTTCCTCCGTATCTTCCAACCATTTGGACGCAGACTTGCATTTCCCCATAATGATGTTGTTTAGCAACCGGCGTAAACGGACCTTCGCGCGCTATCAAGCAGTGATCGTGCGATGTCCTGTTCAGATGACGTCAAACCCAACGGGATGCTATCAATAAACTACACAGAATCATACTACACACCTACGCCATGATTACATTCAGGCAGACTGTAGAACACAACCTCTTTGGACCATTTATATACTTATTGAAAACAAGCTACAAAATGTCATACCTTGGAAAATGCCGTTTAATACTTTTTAATAGCCTTCATTTTTACTAAATTGATTTATCAACTTTTAATACTTTTTAAGACCCCGTGGACACCCTCTTATAGCTCTGTTGTCTGTCCACTGATGCGCCTTTAGCTCTTTGCATTTAAGGGATTATATAAGGTTCCTCTGTCCCGTTGAAACCATCAGCTGCTCTGACGTTTCTACCAGAACACTTCCTGTCTCTTTCAGCACCAGGAAGTAAGAAGATCTGTGTTTGGGCTCAAAACAGGAAGTACTGCCTGTGTGCCTCCTGGGCCACAGGAAGCAGCCGGCCTCTCCACTTCCTGCACTGTTGTCCGTGAAACTGAGCTCTGAGCTTACCCAGCATCCTCTCTGGGTGAGGAGTGGAGAGGAGAGCGAGAGAAACGTCTTCTAAGATGTGTTCTTGTTTGCAAGCTGGTATAATCTTTAATTGTGTGAATGTGTGCTGTCCTGATTCCAATCTTACCCTGTTGCCGTTTAAACTACTGAATTAAAAAAGGTCCATCTTAGCTTATCTTAATTTATAATAATAGATCTCTTAGCAGCATCATTATATGTATGTAAGAGAGTTTTGTAACCTTTCCTCGACCCAAATATAACACTTTATATAATCCTATGGTGTCTGTATATGACAGACTCATCTGATCGTTAGCGTAGGCGGCTCAGTGTCCGTTTGTCTCGTTTACTTACAAGAGCACCCTCATGCCGATCTCGTCTCTCTCCAGGACCTGCTCACACGTCTTCCCCATGTGCTGCTTCCACTGGACGTGACACTTCCTGCAGCTCTCCTGAAGGAACACACAACACAGGAACTCAACAAATGTCAAAACGAAGGAAAAGAAAGAATAAGAGTGAAGAGCGATTTGTTTCAGTAAAATCTCCTCATAAAAGTATTTAGATTAAGTTATCCCAGAAACAGGATTTAAATGATGTATAAAATAGAATTATATTTGGTTTAAAATGGTCAATCAGATGAAAGAAGTGTAGAAAAAGGGGCTAGAAGTACATGCACTCGTTGAGATATTCTTGATTAGGCCTCGTTCGCCCCACTGCTGCTAGCATTAGGTTGCTCTGTGAGAAACAATGTGCATCAAGATGGCGGCACGCAGCTCAACAACTAGACCAAAAACGATCATTTAAGCATCCTTTTCTTCCTTAGCGGAAACATCTTTGACTGAGATCAGGAGTCTTTAGTTCACCAAAATCTGTGACTAGCAGATGTATCAGAAGTGTAGTTAGGGTATTTTATTTGTTCATACGTGTTAGCTTGTAACTAGCAATGGCTGAAAAGGCGTTAGTGGTTGTGAAATATAGCACACACACACACACACACACACACACACACACACACACACACACACACACACACACACACACACACACACACACACACCACACACACACACCACACACACACACACACACACACACACACACACACACACACACACACCACACACACCACACACACACACACAACACACACACACACACACACACACACACACACACACACACACACACACACACACACACACACACACCACACACACACACACACACACACACACACACACACACACACACACACACACACACACACACACAATTATATATATAAAATAATGTATTGTATTACATTATTGCCTCTGAATTTGATTATTATCGGATGGGATAATAACTAAGTAATTAACTACGTCTGAAAGCAGAAGTCCAGGGCATATAATTGCAAGTCTCTTCAGTGCGCATGTCACAAAACGAGATGCATTGTGGGACATATAGTTTATGGGCAACCTGCTTCTGTAAAGCGGCATGTAACCGTATAATGAACGTATTATATTCTTTGCAAGCTCTTGCGGGGCCACATGAAATGAAGTCGCGGGCCGGATTTGGCCCCCGGGCCTTGAGTTTGAGACCCCTGCGTTAAGTGGAAGGGCCGGGGATCGAACCACCAACAACCAAAAAGTGAGAAAGACCCACAACCTGAATTCCTCAGTATGAGTCGTATGTGACTCTGAGAGGGTCTTTGGTCCACTGCATATAAAAAAGCCATATGGATAAAACAACAAGGTTAACAACCTGATTTATTTAAGTGCGTATTTAATATATCACCCAATTACTAAGATTGAATTCATCCCGCACTCACTGCCCCTCCTCTGACACTACTCCAGTTCCTGCTGAATAAGAACATTCTCCATCGTCTGCGCTATATGCTGCTGCCACTGCAGGGACTTAGACTTGCACAGCTAGGTGTGGCTCTCTCCCTGCAAATGTGTATGTATGTGTGTGTGAGTGACTGCAGCAAGATTGGCTCGCCGCTGACTGTTTGGTTGCCTAGAAACAGCAACTCCATCCTCTTTCGCCGTGTCAACCCGAGAAACACCCACACAGACACGTTAGCTTGGGGTTGCCTCCCTCGCTAACCCTCAGCTAAGTGGTGTCACCATTAATATTTGAACCGTTCACCTAATATTGAATAAGAGGCGTGGGACGGCGGGGTGATGCTGTGTGATCCACATCGCCACGACAACCCTGAACCTGGGGAGGAAAGGTCACAAACACACACCCTCTGCGTCCTCTTCCTGCAGCCAGTGTGTGTGTGTTATTCTGTCATCTCAGGCCTGCAGCTCTCACAACGTTCCCGGAGACGTGTGTGTGTGTGTGTGTGTGTGTGTGTGTGTGTGTGTTTGCAAGGTCAGCCAGAGGGTGTGGAACTGGAGTTTTCCTTGGCATTTGGATTGGGTTTGCTTGGAAAGACTTTACACAGGCACACAAGGTCCGTTAAAAGTCGAACTGTGGTAGCTTCAGGCAAAGAAGGAGACATTTTTCAGGCTATGTTCACATTTTTGGATTCATAAAGGGAGTGTCCATGAAACAGACTCTCTGGTGATGAATCAGTAAAACGTGGTTCTGTAGAGGAGGGGGAGAAAGCGGACTCATGTGTCAGACAAAGCCCCGGGAGGCAGAGCGGGGGAAGATCGCCCCCTAGTGGTAACCTAGACACCAGGAAGAGTCACACCACAGGAGAGAGAGAGTGACAGAGTGTGTGTTTGAGCCTTGTTTGACAAGCTGTTGTAAAAGCAGGAACACTTTTTTCTTATAGCTCGGCTAAAAATACAGCCGGTGACGTTGAGCTGAAACTCTTCCTCGGGGCGTTGCTTACCCGCCCCCCCCTCCCCCCCACAAGGGTGTCTGATTTCAATAAAAGCGAGAGTGGCTGAAATGTGACCAAAAGGTTGCACACACATTTATCGTACAATTCCAGCAGCTTATTGAGAGGTTAGGCTGAAGCACTGTTTCTGAGCCAGCCCTGAAATAAGTTCATCCCAGGTACGTTAGAGGGTCTTGAACATGCCGTCTACAGTGGAATGGTGAATGTTCTTGAAACATGTCTTAATATTTCTCCTTGTCCTTTGAAGATTTCAGACTTGATCTGACAATAAAAGTATTATCGTATCGTAGTTTGAATCTTGGAAACAGTGTTATTTTTACCCTTTTTTTTGTCTCTACCTCCATTCACTCCACCCATCTTGTCCTCCCACCCATTCACTGCATTCCTCCCCCTTGGGTGCTCCCCCCACCCGGTATCACCTTCCTGCATATTCATTCATACCTTTTCTTTGTAACTCTTCAACAGTGGTGCAGGCTGCAGCTGCCCTTATAAGGCAAGCAGCTTGCAGAGTTTCTGATGGGAGGGGGAGGGGGAGGGGGGGGGGGGGCTGCATTGAGTGTGCACGGGTGTGGTTATTTTTTTTCGAGTGTTGTGGTGGGGAGGCGGATTTTACTGCAATGGAATCATAGTGCAGCTGTGGTAATGTATGAGATCTCACAGATTTATCTCTGGCCTACATTTTGACATTCCTCCACATGAAGCAATCACACTGGAGGAACAAGGATGTCCAAATGCCCTCATGACCACATGTGGAAAACATTATCAGGAGGGGGGGGTCAGACAGAGCCAGGGGAGAGGAGAGAGAGAGAGGGGGGAGAATCTGGGTCATTTCAATCTGAACCACATTTGAAACGAAGGAGGAAGTGTCTCCGGCCAATCAAAAAGCAGCATGAGGGGAGTGGAAAGCGCAGCCGGCCAATCATAAGGCAGTGTGGGGAGAAGGCGGGTGGGCTTCACAGGAAGTGTGTCAGTTACATAATGAAGCCCCTCCCTGAGACTCAGGCTCGACGACAGGCTTGAACCGAGCTTGTTGATAAAAAGTAAAAAAAGTAAAATAAACATAAAAATAAGAGATAAAACGGATCGTCTTGAGAACAAAAACGGGTTCGGGGGGGGGGGGGGGGGGGGGGCGTTTCATCACAGAGGATTCACTTCCTGATTCCTACAAAATGTAAAAAAGGAAGTGACTTGTGATACGTTTTCGTTACCTTACATATTACAAAATATGCTTTTTATTCTGCTATTCTTATTTTTCCTTTTCTTCGCACCGTCACTCCGCTGTACATTTCCTCATTACGGGTGGATTCAAGTATTTCTGATTCAGACTCCTACATGACTTTAAGAGGAAGCCACTTGTGTTCATTTTCTGTTACACAAAACAGCACCGGCCTCGTTTCCTTCTCAACTCAAAAGTCATTATAATGCTGTAAATAACATCTAACATGCATTCATTCTAGGAGATCCAAATCTGTTGCTTTCTGGTTGCAGATTTACGACATTCAGAACAGAGATCTGGAACATGTCTTTTTGTATTGTTGGGTGTGTGAATGTGTGTGTGATGGGATGCAGGCTGTGCAGCGACTCTACAGCAACACACACTGTAAACCTCTGGCTCCCTCTACAGGTGAATGGAGGGAACAGCAGGGCAATCATTCTCCCCTTGCTTTCTGATTCATAAAACCTGACAAGTCTATTCAACAAATTGTGTCGTTCTGTTGATTTTGAAGCATTAAAATGTAGAACAAGTAATATTAGGGACAGCAGGAGCATCACAACATACAGTTTATCTCAAAGCCACATTTTCAAACTAGATGCCAGAGGAAATAGCGCAGGCTGGACAAAGTCAGCAGATGTAATAATAAAACGTTATACTCTGACAAGAGACAGAAGAGCTCTGTGCGTTACCGGAGAGGTCTGTAAACAGATCATAAACACTAAAAAGGAGAACGTGGTTTACGGGAAGTACTCGAGGCGACACTATCCACAGCGTGCATAATACAATCAAATCACTGTCTGTCATGGATAAGTTGCTTTTTCTTCCACGGTTACATTTACTTAGTAGTTAAGTACAAATTCAGCAAGAAGACGGTTTTAAAATAATGTCTTAAGAGCTTATATAATCTGATCCTTAATCAAACTCGCCACAGGTTTATAAATCAACTTGAATCATCCATTTTATGTTAAATGTAATTTAAAATTGGATATTTTATTACTTTAAATACATTGTTGATTATCCTTTTACTTAAATAATATTTTTGATGCAGGTCTTTTAATTTTTTTCACCCATGATTGAATGTATTGATAGCATTAAAGGACACCTATCATGCTATATTTGAACAATATATTGTAGGGCCATACCTATATAAAGTATATTATAAATATAGTTGTTTTTTTAAAATACCAAACAGATCCTGCATTTTAGCCATGCCTCATTTCGCTCTATTTGCTCTTTCCAGCACTGTTTTTGCAGGGGGCTGATTCTGTGAGCTGCAGCTGACCACGCCCCCCTGCAGGAGAGGGGAGCGTGCTCTGAGATCAGCTGCTGGGCGGTCTGTAGAGGGGGAGAAAAAGAGATCTCCATCCACCGTGTTTTATTCTTATAGAAGTAAGAAGAGA